CATTTTCCTTGGCCCTGCTAGCAGAGTCGCCCCTACCCTGCTTTAAATTTATGATACTTTGAAGCTCCAGCGGAGGCCCGAAGATGCCAGTGTAGGAATCTAGGGGGGAACAGGGGGGACAAGCCACAGCGGACGAGCCCTGTTTAAGCTCCAGTAGGTCTGTGAGTCGAACTTTTGTAGCACCGCAGTATTAATGAGCTACTAGGAAAACCTAGACCCTAACCTCTACAAATCCTACACCCTGAACCCTAAATTTTAAACCCTTATCATTAAGGGGTTACTGGAAAGCCTAGGAAAGATCTTCGATCAGCAGGCCAAGGTGCAAAACAACTTGCATCTCTACGGCCTTTGTCCCGAAGAGGTGGATTCTCTCGGTGAGGCCTTAGGTGACTTCGTGGAGCTCAAAGATCTGGCTTTGTACCTCCTATCCCGTTTGGAATTGTTTTGAAGTTTTCCCTTCAGGGTCCAAGTACCCAGATAGAAGGGCTTCAGGGCCCAAATACTATCATATTAATGGTCTTTTGGGCCCTAAAACCATGTTATTTGGGTCCTTGGACCCTTATATAAGCTTTGTTGTAGTACAACCCAAGGAATTACCAAAAACAGCATTTTCAAAAGTGGTCTGAGGGGAGTATTACAGGTACGGATCGCAGCTGAAGAAGGAATCTGCCCTTGCCTTGGTTGCAGGGTGGAGAAACTTGCCGCTCAAAGAGATTCGATTCGACAGATGTGCAATGGATGATAAAGCTGCCTCTGCGTTAGCGCGAGGGCTTGAGCCCAAAGTGGGGGATTGCAAGGTGGTAGTTGCCCAAATAGGGGGACCCCAATATAGACCCTAATCTACTAAAGTTCTTCGTATATATGTATATACATATATCCTAAACCCTAAACCCTAGACCCAAATTTTTGGAAGCCCTCAGGTCATCTTTACAGATTGCGAGTTTGGCAAGAAAGCCGCCTCCCACCTCCGCGCCGTCCGTGGAGTGCTGATCCAACCAACTCCGCCCAGTGGATGCTGCAGCATAATGTAGACCCCTGATTAATAGACCCCCCTCCCCTTCATAGGGATTATAATAGGGATCCTAATTTTAAGGCCCTTAAAAGGAGGGGGGATTAGTATTAATCCCCAATAGATTGTAGTAGCTTCCATTTTCTTTTGCATTATCCCATTATAATAGGGATCGTAATATTAAGGCCCTTAAAAAGGGGAGGTTTAATTAGGGGTCTACATTAGCCCGAAGATGGCCGGAAGCCTCTGCAGGCCTCCTGCTGGGGCGCGAAGGTCCCATACGAGCTACAGTCTAAACTCAATGAAGGGGGGTTAGGGTTTAGGGTTTAGGGTTTAGGCTTGTATAGGGGAGTATTATAGGGGGTACTAAGTGGGATACTAGGAGTTTAGACTAGCTCATCTGAGCCACAGTGACGGCACCTTCGGAAAGGATTACGTTTGACCGCTCACGCTTCACACTGCAATCTGCCCCCAGCAGGGTCTGCATGTATAATGATTGCGACGCACCTCTCATGTGAGGAACATATTTGGCATATGAGTTAACTGAGTATAGCATGCCCTACTAGATTGCCCTAAACCCTAAACCCTAAACCCTAAATCCCTATTAGGCTTTCAACACGGATCCCTCTTCTCGTTCTGGGAATTTGTTGCCAGTTTCATTTTGCAGGCGCGGGCTCCAAGGATGACTCATGCTTGCTTTCCTGGGTTGCTGTTAAGGATTTTCAAATAAGTTACCATAATGGGTATATTTCTCTATATATACACAGTAAACAACAGAGTTTCCCCAATATAGTAACTTAAATTAAGTTCCTCAACAGCAATCCAGTTTTAGTCCGCAGGCGTCTGGACTTCCAGTCTCACCATCATTTCAGGATGGAGTTTCTCGAAATGAGGACTTCCGAATGCAAACCCCAACACAATCGGATCTAAAACTGACCCTAGGGCTCCAGTTGCCTAAATGATGGAAACTGGGTTCTATATACCCTATAGTAACATGGCCCAGTAACCTACTGTTTAGGTAACTGGGAGTTGTAGGGTGAGGGAACCTTCAAGTAGCCAACACAGTAGGGGTCCTGCTTCTACTCTGGCAGAGCCCCTTCTTCTTGCGGGATCCTATACTGTTGATGCTTTGGACTGTTGATGCTTTGGCATCCCACACAACTACTTTAAGCACCAGCAATGCTACGAGTTCGTTTCGACTACCAGAGATAAGCCAATGCAGACACACCTCAACCCTCATGAAGAAAACGCCAAGCCGGGCTTCTAGCTGGGGGCTGTCCTAAGCTACTGCCTACAGGATATGGACCATGGAACCTTTAAAGAATCCCCTAGTATCCTCAATGTAGTAAGGCGGGGATCATGTGGGAGGATTCCATTTTTTTTTCCGGATCCTAAACGGGGTCTGTGTTGTACTTGCCATCATATAAATCATCAGTCACCGACTAGTGTTTCATAATTTTCCTACCCACACAGGGTGTGGCGCCCTAGTTATCTAACTGTACTTTAAAGTCCATAATTACAGGTCAATTACGCGACTTATAGCAGCACTTATCCCCAGCAAGCTTTCGAGCCCTGAGCCCTAAACCTTGAAACCAAAACCCTACAGCCATCTCCCCTTGCGACCGCAGCAATGTGATTCATCTCAAGCACTTGCCTTCTGATAGTCTCAGACCACTTCAGAAGAAACCTTCATCATCTTTTTTCAAGCAGAATGTACCCGCCTTTCCATGTTCATCCTATTGTTGTATTTGTTGTTTCCTTTTTGGGGGGACTGGAGGGGGCGGTGAAACCTTGCCAGCAGGCAAACTCATCCTTATCGTGGTCGACACGTAGTCAGCAGTAGCTGTTGCGTGTAAGCTGCTCCTTTTAGCATGAAGCTCACGCAAACCCCGCTCTAAACTCCCAGACTCTAAACCCTAACTATTGGAAGAAATCATCCACTCCCCATTCTATCGTTTTGCAGATCGCAGGTGGCACGCTCTTCGAAGCCTAATCCCTAAACCGACCCAAACTCGCATCCCAAAAAGGCTGAACAGCCAACCTTACCACTACACCTAGTAACCCCTACACCCTCAACCGTCTTCACCCCAAGCCCAATGAGCTATAGTCTAGAATTCTCAAAAGGGGTTATATAGGGGAGTATCCTAGGGGTCAACTAGGGGCATACTAGGCATTTAAAGTATATAGTTCAAATAAACCCTGAAACCAGGGACGGTGCCCTAAACCCCAAACTCTGGATGGTGGGCTTACTTAACCAATAGAAGAACTTTAAACTTTTTGGGCTTCCTTATTTGGTCTCTATAACAAAGCTTGAACTTTTTTGGGCCTGGTCATTGGGGAAGAGAGTGGGAGATGTCGTATTCTCGGGTTGATACGTCACTTTCTTTTTCGGTGCGCGTAGGAGCTTCTCAAGACGGTGTGGGTTGGTTTACAGCAGGTGAGGTGGGTTTAGGGTAGCAGTTTTAGGGCTTAGAGTTTAGGGCTTCATAAGGTTTAGGGTTGCACTATCGATGCTGCAGTCCCAAGTGAGCACACCGCTGTATCCTTCTTTAGGTTCTACAGAAGGAAAAGGAGGCTATAATCTTAAGTGTTCCCAACCCGAGACATTTCCATTTTGACCTGCTTGCTAATTCCCCTTGGCCCCTGACCCTCCAAGTAAACCCTAATCCTGAAGTCCCCAACCCTAAAAACTCAACTCTAAGCCCAAGCCCTTAGACACCCCCTAGATTCCAGAGTAAACAAGTATCATTTGTCGGATGGATGAAATCTTGCACCACTTAGGACCCTGAAAATATTGTAATTCCTAGGAATCGAAGGACCTAGGGTGGTGCAAGACTTCCTCCATTAACAGTATACCCCCAGAATCCTATATCAACATTTCCAAAGGGATCTGAAAGCATATGAGTGATTATTAGGCTATTGTATACTGGACCCTCAATCTAGGATAATCGCCATAAAGCTCAATGTGAACCCAGATTCCATTTCATTTGTCACATTCTTTTCCATTTGGTTCTGCATTGTTGGCGTCTTAAACCCAAACCTCACACTCGAATCCCTACTCCTTGAACCCTAAACCCCAACACCTAAACCCTAATACCTAAACACCAAATCTTAAATCCTAATCCCTAAACCCTAAGTCCTGAACCCTTAGGGTCCTGCTTCCGCAGGGCCATGAGCATTCTCGGTGGCCCTTTGCTGGAAGATGCAGATATTGAGGACCGTGGTTACT